TGGTGGAGACAGTGGCCGCTTTGTGCTGAGCGAGGCTCAAACGGGGGTTAGCTCCTGTGCCCGTCACCTCCTGCCTGGAAGAGTAGCTCGGGCTCATTATCCTGATGAAATTTGCGCAGATGTGTGAGCTGCCGACAGACTCTGCAGTGACACAAACAGCCAGCTCTGTCCCCTTGAGCCAGTCAGGTGATGAAAACCAGAGAGGCACAGGACGAGGCGAGGGGGGGGGGCGCTGAGAAACGACGGCCATTAAGCAAAACAGAAGGAGTTGAGAGGGGGTTGCATGAAAAAGTAAGCAAACCTTCTTAAAATTCCCAAATGAAAATGAAAACATGCACAAATGCAGACAGCATCTACTGATGAAGCGCTAATCTGGCTGCATCCAGATGATGAGCGGACTGCCACTTAACAGGGAGGAGATCCACTTTGATCACAACCCCCCCAGGGGGGAACCTATCACGGTGCCTATTACGCTGCTTCATTTGCATATGTCTGGTGCTTATGGGGAGGCTGAGGCCAGTGTGAATGTTCTCCTCTGCAGCAGGGTTCAGTGTTGTTGGACAGAGACAGTCAGAACAGATGGGAAAAGAAACGACAAAAACGCGCGCCGGGCCACTCGAGATGCAGCATTCAAGCTAAAATTAGAAAGTGTAGCTTCACAAATAGGAAAGCAAGTTGTTTTTGCATCTTAAACTATCATTTATGTTGAGTAATGGTTACGTTTGAATAGCAACATACAAAATCTCAAGATTGTAATTAATCACTTCATGTTTTGGGAATATTGATCAACTTTTACTTAATCAAATCTGTAAAACTGAGTTGCAGATTTTTTGTGTTTGTTAATGTTGCCAAGTATAAAGGTCTCATTCACAATCAGGCGTGGTCTCCAGTATAAATGAGTGGTTTTCTGTGGGGGAAGAAAGCTCTGGCGCTCCTGTTTCCGGAACTGCGCTGCTCTGGGCGGCTGCATGTTGGAGTAGCTCTGCTGACGATATGTAAGTTTTGCCTTTTTTTGGACATTTTTTCTTCTAGTTTCTCAAAAAAACTATATTTTTGGACATTTTACTTTTCTGTTTCTGGTGCTGTGAAGCTTGGGAGGATTTTTACTGCTATTTTTGAACTTTTTTCACTTTTTGAGCATTTGTTATGATGCGTAACCATGGCAACGAGCTGGTTTACAATCGGGAGCAGCTGATTAACAATGGAAAGGCTGAAATAATACCTCAACTGAAGCCACAAATCCCAAATGAGCTAAAACGCAAGAAGCGTGGGTGCAGAGCGGGAGCAAAACGGAGACAGAGAAAGAGGAAATTCAAACCATCTCTTCCATCGATCATAATGGGCAATGTGAGATCACTGGCCAACAAGATGGAGGAACTCCAAGCCCTTTCAAGGACTCAGCCAGAGTTTCGGCAGTTTTGGAACCGCTGCAGGAGATAATGCAAAGAAGGATTCTCCAGAGAATCAAGAAAATGATGGACAACCCTGAGCATTCTCTTCACAAGACTGTCCGACAACGGAAGAGTGTCTTCAGTCAGAGGCTTCTTCAGTTTGGCTGCAACACTGACCGCTACTGGAGATCCTTCCTGCCAACAGCCATTGTAATATACAACAACTCTTTGATGACTTATTATTATTATTATTCTGAGCTACTACAGCAATCAATTTCCCTCTGGGATTAATAAAGTATTTTTGAATTTGAATTTTAGGGTTAGAAGTTAGTGAGAGTAGTGGAGGATGGAAAACGACAGAACAAGTCTTACTCATTAATATTCATGATATGCAAACATCTAGCCTCTGATTGGCTAACAGCAACACAACTCTTCCACTACCTTTGTTCTCTCTTCTTCCTTGGGTTAAAAAATGCAACATTCATCTTTTATCTCCACAATAGCACAAGCCTGAATGTGTTCTGCCATGTTGTGGAGTTGCTAATGCTAACAGTTAGCTTCTACTAGCCAGGACGCGCTTTTCTCTTTCTTTGCTAAATAGTAAATGGCCTATATTTGATATAGCGCCTTTTAGAGTCCTGGAACCCCCCCAAGGGGCTTTACAACACAATCCGTCATTCACCCATTCACACACACATTCACACACTGAGTGTGGTCACAAGTAGGGCTGCTCAATTAATCGAATTTTAATCCCAATAACGATCTGAGTTTTGAACGATTATAAAAACAAAACAAGCCGATTATTTGCTCCTCCCACTTGCGCTGCCCCGAGTTGCAAATGAAGCGCTCCTCCCACAGTGTTGCCAACTTAGCGACTTTGACGCTATTTCTAGCAGCTTTTCAGATCCCCTTCTTGACGTTTTAAATCTTAAAAGTACCTAGCGAACGCCTCAGAAACATCTCGTTGACATTTCCTGCAGGTTAGCTAAACACTCCGCGTGCGCTCCGGACCGTTCTTCAGGACATTAGGAAAGGGAATGATGTAGTGATGTGTCGGTCGCTAAAGAAACAGCTCAGAGCCGGCTCCATGTTGGACTAACCAGAGTGAGTGACACACACACCGTACCTGCGGACTCCTGAGCCACTAAAAACAGCTAAATGTGCACGTGCGGCGCGCTAAACACACGTGCAGCTTGCCCGATTGCTGTGAGACCGGGTTGGGGGGTGCAGCTGTGGTTGGGACAATTATTACATTAACTGATGGACCTGTAAATAAATAGTTTATAAATAAGGTAGAAATAAGTTCCTCACGGTGCTAAATAATAACTAATCTCTCTGAGGACACGGTGCTAGTGCACTCTCCTACAGCATCTTGACATGACTCAATAAATGTTATGCAACATTTTGTGAACATCAATTTATTTGCATGTATTTGTTATAAATGCCACTGTATAATTCTTGCTGTCAGTATTTGCAAGATATTGGTATTTGGGTCTGTACTGGTTAGACTTAAATGAGTTAAACCAAGGTCTATAGGCCTTGGGTCATAGACTATGAGCTATAAGTATATTGGTCTTTTTATCCTGGGAATCAGGAGTTCTTTTAGCGATCATCTTGTTTCTTGTTTATTTTTGTCCTGATTGTGCCCTGAGCAATTTTATGACTGAATGAAAACAAATAAAATCAACATAAATTGAAAAATCGTCTTAAACGATCGAGATCTCAATTTCAGTCACAATAATCGTGATTATTGTTTTTGCCATAATCGAGCAGCCCTGCTCACAAGCCAAGGTGGGCAGCCATTTTTCCTCTCCTCTTCTCCGTAGGTGTTTCTCAATGTACGACATCGCCTTGCCAGGCCAGACGCCTTGCTTACGAGGACACGGTCCTTCCTTGCTCTGAGATAACGGTGAAATGGATCAGACTTGCATCACGTGACCGCGGCTTCTGCGGCAGTCGCGTAACGTCACGTGACACGGGAGTTACATTACATATAAGTTACAACTTATATTTTAAACTTGAAATTTGTCCCCGAAGTAGCTGCCGGCTTCTGATCCGCCACCCTTTTGAAAAAGAGAAATTTTTGACCAAGGCTAGGCTACAAGACACCTCCCATGTATCCTTGCTCAGCTAGCCTAATGGCTAACAAACAGAGAACAGACACCTCGGTGGAACATGAACATTGGAACACGCCTTTGCGGTTCCTGACGGCGTATCTCCTAGGCAACCGGGGCAGGGCCAAGACATCAAGGCAAGGTTCCTTGGCATTGAGAAACACCCCGTGGCTGGTTTGATGACTTGGTGCAATGAGCAGTTGGATTTCTCCTCGTCTTTTCAGACAAAACCTAAAATAACTTTTGTCGCCTTTTTGCCTTGAAAATAAACACTTTCTTGGCATCAAAATGTGTCTTTAAAATTCGTGGACATCTCTTGTGAATTTGTGAAATCCATGGCAGATGTCACACTGGATCAGAAAATCACTGACCCACAGACTCCCATTCATGAAGGTCGACTGATCTGGACAAGGTTGCCCATTATGTCAGAAAAGGTCCCTGAGAGGTAACGCCGGGCACCTTTTCTAAGCACCTTATTCAACACAGGTGTAAAATGTGCAACTGCTTGGGCATAAATTTGTTTTATAGTAAGAAAAGTGCATTAGTGCTCCAGAAACGTCGCCTGGATGAATAAAAATTCAAAAAGTAAGCAACTCAGAGTAACCACATGTGCTCTGTAAGTTCTGCAACAACAGGTGAGGGCTGCTTGTTTTATCCCCCACCTACTCAGATTCCTCTACAGAAGCTCCACACAAGCTCTTGATCCTTGTTAGCGAGCGAAAGCGCTAAGTGAAGATGCTCTGGTGTAAACGCACACACACACACACACACACACACACACACACACACACACACACCAAATGCAAACTTCAGCTGTGAGGAAAGAAATTTGTTTGCGTAAACAGCATTAACCATTCGCTAGGTCTACTTTCAGAGCTCCGCTGGGAATGCATTCAATATCAAACCTGCAGATGAAATAAAGAAGATTTAACAGCGTCCTGCCGAGTAAATAAATAAATAAATAAACAAGCGCTATATCAGTTTAAACACTTGCCACTTTACAGCACTTGTGTGACTTTTGTGCCTCGGCTCACTGGGAAAAGTAATAAATCTTTTTGGGTTTTTTTTTTTACTTCTGAAACAAAAAGTTGAGCAGAAACTGGTTCACCTGCACCCCGGATATGTTTGACTAAACTTTATTCTTATTTGCACTCATTAAATGTAAAAATATAAATAAATAAACAATTAAGATAAAACAACAGAGATGCAAAAACAAGAGTTGGAATCGAGCTTACAATCATTAATGTCATTGGTGACATTTTTGTAAACACAAACGTCGTTGATGAGGAAGATGAAGAGGCTGAGTTGATGGAGAGAAGGGGGAAGTGGAGGACATCTTCAGTGTGGAGAGAATCGTTTTCCGCGTCAATCGCCGAGAATAATTCCTCAAACTTTTTTAAGTCCGACTTTAAATGGCATCACATACGTAGCGAAGCATGAAACATTTATGCGCGGGAGTCGGGGAAAATGGGTAATGATCTCTGCAGCAGCTTACCTCCTTAGCTTTCTGTTTCAGCCGAGCTTGCTCTGGGTCCTCTTGCCTGGAGCGACTCTGTGGAGTAAAGTGGGGAGGGGGGGGGGGGGGGGGGGGGGGGCAGACACACAGGTTAACAGCTGGTTTAAGATGACCCCCCAATCCCCTCCGTTTTGTTACTCATCTGTTGCTGCTGCAGCAAAAATAGCACAAAAAAGGGGAACAGGGTACAGAGGTGTCAAGGACATCATATCTGAATGCTGGGAAGTGCAACGCAGCGCCCCTCTGGGGGGGCAGTGGCCTTTAAACCTGCTCCAAATCCAGCCCTAAATAAGCTGCTGGAGGGTGATTCTAATCAAAAGAGGTTATTAAAAAGCCTGCACGAGCCAACACTCACACACACACACACACACACACACACACACACACACACACACACACACACACACACACACACACACGGGACAGAGGATGCTGGTGACTGTCGGTGGCTGTCTGTGTGTCCCTGGCGTAACAACACAGCACTTCTATTTTAATCAGCGGCGATGATCTGGGTGAGTGTACCCGTCCCTGGAAATCCTTCACGGCAGAGCCAAACACACACGCACAGATGACCACTGCAGCCAGAAGGGGGAGGCCACAGAGCAACGGGCTGAGGTGCATCACATCACTTGGAGATAATCATCTCAAATATTCAAATGCATTTAAGGATCCTTAATGCATTAACATAATTATCTAAAAATATTGTTCCAGTTGCACATCTCCCAACACCTTTCCTGTGTCGGCCATCTTGAACTGGATTGACAGCAAACCTCAGTCAGTGGCCTACATCCAAGCATGAGTTTCTTGGAGTTACATTCAAATCTGTTTATTAGTAGTTGAATAATTTTGCTGAATAACAATCAAACAAGTTTGTCCCATGATGAGTAGCTCTTGGATGGTGTGATGGTTTTCAGCAAGTAAAACACTACATTTTAGCTCTAAATCTGTAAAATTTGCTGTTGATTAGTTATGGCAGCCATCTTGAAATGGGTTGAATCCAAAAGCCACTCCAACCCTTTCCTCCGATTCGGCAGAACGGGTGGAGCGATGCTCCTCCTTAGCTTCCTGCTAATTGGCTTCATAAATCAGGCCGTTCACGTAGCGGTCCGTATCTCACCGAAGACTGATGTATTTGGCCCCTGGTCGGCCGGCGCACCCCTCCAGCCTTCAGCCGTATTTTAAACGGCCGGTCCAGTTGATGAGAAGCAGGAGGAGATGGTGGGAGAGATTAATGTGATGGATTTCTGATCTAAAGGGTCACATTAAGAGACACTTCAATAGGAGAGGGGGTGGAGAGGGACAGTTAGATTCAGACGGACAGCAGAGCCGCTGGCTTGCTCACATGTAACAGGAAGATGAGGACAGATAACACTGGTTTACGGTGCATGTGGGGACGTCTCCTCTTTCCTCAAAGCTCTTTAACTCTGGAAGAGGCCGGAAGCTCAAGAGTACTACGTTGATTTTATTCACAGTAATTAGGAATGTGAGGGAATGATAGGAGGTGGAACCCTAGATTGAGGAAGTGGAGTGACCAGACCAAGCACCAAGCTACGACTGAAACGATGGTGCACCGTATAGTGAGCAAGGCTGCAATTACGCTGGGGTTGGGCGATTTGTATCGTTTTTCCCACCGCCAATCATCAGTCCAGAAAAAAGACGATGGACGATTTAAAATGCGTTGTGCTCCAGCAGCAATGAGTTGAAATCACCGGGGCACAGATTATGAACTCAGCTGAAAAGTACATGAAGTACCAGAGAATATGGGCTGATACAAACGATCGCAAACAAATTACTTTGTTTTGGTGGAGTGATTTTGTGAATATAACAGCGGCCGTGCGCTTATGAGTCCATAAGTGACGTCATATATGTGGATACTGGATCTTTTTTCATGTTTCCCGAAATTTGAATTTTTAGGAAACCCACATCTTGATTCTGGGTTTAAAAATGCGTTGTAATTACCGCGTTACTGACACTTGTACCGAGTAAATATTACCATTTTCTTTCCCTGTAATAGCTTACATTACCACATTACAGCAAAAAGCAATGCATTACCGTAATTAATTACTTTTGTACCGCGTTACTCCCAACACTGCGTATAAACTGCCTGTATTAAACACAGCTAAAATGCTAAAAAGAAGCCTCGTCTTTGTTTCCCAGTGGAGCCCACTGTTGTGGTTTTAATTTAAGCTAATTGTTTCTTTCTGAACAAAAACTTCGGGGGTTCTTTCTTTTATAAGTGGGGTGTACGGGATGAATCGCTGCTGCGTTTGGACGCACCCTGAGGAGGCAGCATTTGCTCGCTGCCAGAGGTCACACGATCCATTCATCCCCGTCACTTTCGTTTTTAAAATAATAAATAATCGTTTGTTAAATTTCCATTCATTTTAATTAATATTTAGTAAAACCAAGCTGATGAGAATGCCCCAGTAACATGAACAATGCAATTAAACCATTTCACTTCAATTAGGAACATTTCACCTGCTGCGGCTCGAACGCACGTTCCTCCTGCGCCGTGTCAACCTGAACTGGTCACCATCACCTGCAGCTTGTGTGTAATCAGATGTCTCTAGGGAGCTCGCTGAAGAGGTTATGAGCTTCTAGACTTTTGCCTCAGACAGACTCATGGCTGTTTAAATGATGTTCTGGATGGATCCGTGCTCTGCGGACACACTTGAAGCAGGTGCTGAATAACGACAAGCGCTACTTCAGCCAAAGTTGTAAACCAGGAAACATTTCTCCAAATGAAGTTACCAGAAGTCTTCCAGACTCTGAAAGATAGAAGGGTTTCCACGTTCCGCTCAACGCCGCACTGTAGTGCACGATGTCGAGTGCGTCACAGACGCTCTCCGAGCCCCTCCTCAGCGTGACGCTTGCGCGTGCACTGTCAGCAGCCAGAGGAGGTGAGAAAAGGCTCAGATGCGCTGATGGAGATTTTTTCTTGATTGTTACCTCCGCAATGTTCTCTGTGCGTCGCGTGTAAAATATTCGTCATTAACAAACAAATAAATAAACAAATCGCCTCCTGTAAAAAAAACAACCGTAACGGCTTCGTCCCATCGCCCAACCTTAGATTACGTCATAGAGAAGAGTCCAAATTTAGAATGTATCCTGGTTTTACCCGGATTCTGAGGTCGGGTCTGGTGTATCCTTACTTTAAAGGCTATCCCAGAATTATTTGCCGGTGATTTGTTTTTGTATTAATTGCGGACAAACCAGGAGAGGATAACAAGTTTAAACTTAAGCATATAAATACCTGGCAGTAAAAGACTTAAAAGCTAAAAGTGGTTGTATTGTTGGGCTTTATATATATATATATATATATATATATATATATATATATATATATATATATATATATATATATATATATATTAGGGCCGTGACTCGATTGAAAAATGTAATCTAATTAATTAGAGGCTTTGTAATTAATTAATCTAAATTAATCGTATTTTTAGAGTGTTTCTGTTTTAACTTAAACTTCTGTTTTCAACTTTAAGATGTGTTGCTTGTGATTGTTTGCAGAGTAGTGAGAACACGGAGCGTTCTCCCAGCAGCAGCCAGGTGCCTCTCGTTTGTCTGACTACTTTCATAAACTACTGTTAGGGCAAAGAATTATTCTGTCTGGAGCTTTCAGCGCTGCACAGATGGTACGTAAATGTTAAAAATATAGCTTACCGCCACTTTTGTAAAGTTTCCGAGCAGCTGCAGCAGTATCGATCTCTGAAAAATGTCCGCGACACGGACTCTGTTGTCGTCTGGAAGTTTTTTTTCCAAGTTAAGAAAAGAGGCGGACGGGTTTCCTAAATCCTGCATCAGTCAAAGCAAGGCAACTTCTTTCTGTTTTTATTCCGTTTTAGTAGCCATTAGCGCTGTGCATTGTTGTGTCCGTCAGTGATATTCGGTCTACGAAGAAGTGCAATAACAAAGGTTCCGCCTTGCTCGAAATGCAAGCTGTGATTAAATGATTAAATGCGTTAATTTTTTTTAAGCGTCATTTTTTTTTCTAATTAATTAATCATAATTAACGCGTTAAAAGTCTTGGCCCTAATATGTATATATATATGTATATATATATGTATATATATATATATATATATATATTGTATATACTTTTTGCCAGGAAACAATGGCAGGAAAGAACAAACCTCATAAACGAGCTCATTTAGGGTCACGTATTTTTTTCACATTAGCCCTTAAGTTCATTTTCAACTTCTGTTCAGTGCCGTCACGGTTGCTAGGTGACAAGACATAGTAAATGGCCTGTTTTTGTACAGCGCCTTTAAGGGTTCTACAACCCCCCAAGGCGCTTCACAGCACAGTCATCTACCCATGCACACACACATTCACACACTGGTGATGATGAGCTACGATGTAGCCACAGCTGCCCTGCGTTGCACTGATGGAGGCGAGGCTGCCGAACGCAGGCGCCATCGGTCCTAGAAGGAGCATTAGAATAGAAGCATTCTCTGCCAGGAGCCGGGATTGAACCGACAACCCTCCAATTACTAGACAACCCGCTCTACCTGCTGAGGGCCTAAGGTAGGGGCAAGAATAAGCAAAATCGCTGTTCACAGCACTAGTTAATTCTTTGGAAAGAAACGGCAGCCAAGATTCAAACCCGCAACCTTCTTGCTGCTACAAATTGTGCCACCATGCAGCAGCACCCCCCTGTTCTTTTATCAGAATTAATTATGTGATTTGTTGTATAACTATCTCAAAAAGCTTCACTTTCTATGCGGCTTTAGCTAGTAAAGGTCTGTTTAATGACTTGTTTATAAAAACCATTTAGGAGCAGGTTGTGTGTTTTTGCCACCTGGTGGATGGGGGGGGTTACAGGATTCCACCCCCTCCCTGTTCTGTCCGGGAAAGAAAAGCCAGGACAGAGGAGCCCTGGAGCCAGCATCCTGGGTCACCTCATCCACAGAGTCACACTCTAATTCATCTGTCTGAGCCCCCCCCCCCCCCCCCCACCCCCCCCCCCCCCCCTCCCCCCCCCCCCCCACCCCCCCCCCACACAACACACACACACACACACAGCTAACTGTGTGGCATAGGGATGTAACATTCTTACACCAGCCCCCTAACAGGCGAGAGGGTGACCGTAACTCACTTTAGCAGCTTTCAGAAGGATCTCCCTCTCCTGCTCGTCCTTCCTCTGCTTCTCCATCCTCTCCAGCTGCTCGAAGAAGCGAAGCTGCGAGCGAACGTCTCCCGACTGCTCGTAGCACTCGTCGTCCTGCGGAGGAAATATCGTATTGTTGAACTGAGAAAACAGCTGTTATTATATACTGGGGGTATGTCTCATTTTAAAGAGAGACTTGTTTAGGTCATCACACACAACAAAAAAGTTGAATGAATAATAAAATCAGTGAAATAAAATAAAAGACACGACTGACTGTTAAATGAGTCTCTCTGTTCCCTGGAGCCTTTTTCCAAGAATAAAGCAAAACCGTTTCCTATCAGACTTATTAGTTGTTCTTTCAGCTGTGTATCAGAGCCAATCAGAACTTAGGAACTGTCTCACATTCCAAATAAAAAACCAAGTCCATCATCCTTGCCAGCTGCATCACTACGTGGTACAGCAGCTGCACTGTGTAAAGACAGCAGCTGAGAAGATCGTTGGTGCCCCTACCTCCAGGACATCTCTACAACCCGCCTGACCCAAAAAGCATTGCGGGTGACTCCAGCCATCGCTAAAGTCTCCTGCACCTCAGGATGAGTTGGCTGAGCATCAAGGAGCTTCCTCCTCCCTCAGCCCATCAGGATGTAGAATTTCCTCCAAGCTCTCCCCCATCTGCCTTCTCTGACCTCTGGGTTCTTTATTTTTGTTTGTATTGCCGTTTGCACCCAGAATATGAAGAATAATCGTTTCAACTCAGTGTTTGTCTTGTAGTGTAGACAAAATAAACAAATTCAAATAGAAGTTGTGTGCCATCTCCAGCAGTCTCTGGGTAGACAGGCGGGATACATCCTGGACTGGTAGACAGTCCATCGCAGGGCAACACAGAAACACACACACTCACACGCACGCACACGCACACACACACACACACACACACACACCTAAGGACAATTTACAGAAACCAATCAACCTGACAGTCATGTTTTTGGACTGCGGGAGGAAGCCGGGGCACCCGGAGAGAACCCACACAAGCACTGGGAGAACCTCCAAACTCCACACAGAAAGAACCCAGGTTGGGACTTTAAGTGCTAAATCTTAAATAACATTAATAAAAAAAATAAACAAACAGGAAGACCGGTGCCTATTCTGATAGTAATGTTTGATATCCCTGATTATTTAGGCTGTTTTTCCTCAGCCTGTTCTATGTAGATCATTTGTTTCCTTTACATTTAATCCTAGTCAGGAAACATATATTTTATTTTTTGTATTATAACGTAGACTTCCTCAACATTTTAATGTTATAAATGAATTGTTTACTTTTTGTTTTCTTTACTTTTTCATAAAATAATCAGTTTTTTTCGTTTCCTCAGAATCTTGAATGTTATTCTGGAATTTATTCACTTTTTTAACATTTCATTTAACATTCTCCTTTCTTCTATAAAAAATGTTATGTGTTTGTTTTTTCCTCTCCACATTTTGACTGTTTTCTCCAACGGTTTAGCTTTAATCCTGAAACTGGGACTGATTCTGTCCCAGATGTTTCACTTGACTCAACATCTGGGACTAAATCTCTGATTTAGAGCGACGGTGGCACAGGGGCTAAGTGCTCGCCCTGTAATCGGAAGGTTGCAGGTTCGAGCGCCGCTCAGACTGTCACTGTCGTTGTGTACTTGGGCAAGACACCTATCCCGCCTTCCCTGCGCCCTTGGGGGGGGGGGGGGGTCCAGGACTCTAGAAGGCGCTATGTCAACTACAGGTCATTTACCACGTTGTCAGTAGTTCAGTTTGCAGGCTTCCAAACTTCCGCAATTGTTCAATTAAAGGAAAGATTTCAAGTTTTAGACACTACAAAACAACCGGTTTACTCACACACACACAACACACACACACACACACACACACACACACACACACACACACACACAAACTTTTCTCTGTTTACAGACTTTTTGCTTCACCTCCCATGTGAGAAATGGAAAGTGTAAAAACAACTTTTGTAGGTCATTAAAAGTTAATAGGATAATTGCGTATTTCACGCGTGTGTGTGTGTGTGTGTGTGTGTGTGTGTGTGTTGGCACATCTATGTTCTCATCTTCCTCTTGATATCTATATCACTGCCTGCCGTGTGTGTGTGTGTGTGTGTGTGTGTGTGTGTGTGTGTGTGTGTGTGTGTGTGTGTGTGTGTGTGTGTGTGTGTGTGTGTGTGTGTGTGTGTGTGTGTGTGTGTGTAGATGAGAGAAGCTGAGTGGCACAGAGTACAAAGATACATCAGAGGAGGCTCCTCAGCAGCACCCCACCACCCCACCCCCCCCACTCCACCCCCAGTGTCGCTCTCATCCACCCCCACCTCCCCCCTTTTGTTGCATTGCTGAGCTCGCACTCTCCTGCCGAAGCCCGGCTGTTCTTTAAGGCCGCTTTGTCTTTTGGTCTCTCCCTCTCCCATTTTTTTTCTGCTGATGTCAACAGAGATCCGTGCCTTTACCAGAAAACACCTCATTTAGAAAAACCACAAAAAACGAAGACGAACAAATGGCAAAAAGAAACACCAAAACAAGATGGGGACAACCATGGCGATGCTCTCCTCCCGCCTCTTCCTGGCATCGAGAAAACACATTTTCAAAGTTCCCCCCTGCTCGCTCACCAAAGGATGCAAAGACTCCTAGCAGAGATGGGTCACACTTTAATGTAGGCCAATTAAATGTGGTTGCATTCGTGTTCTGCGAGGGGTTAAGCAGCCCATAATGAGTAAAGTCTGCAGGTGTGTGAACACTCTGAGTTCTGACTGACTGAAGAAAACTTACGGCTCTTCTGTGGAGCAACTTCAGGGCATTTCAAGAGTTCTTATCTCAAGTTGTGTGTGTTTGTTAGTTTTCCACTCCTTCAGCAGCTAATTTGTGTGTCTGCGATGGAGCATAAATTCATGTCCTTGAATACTGTCGATCCATCTAATCTGGAGCATTTGTTCTGCAAAACCTTCACAGTTTTACATCAGTTTCTTATGTGTTGCTTACAAGCATAAATATCACCTCTAGTGCATCCAGCGGTCAGATCCTACAGGAGTGAACCGTAATATTCACGCAGAAAGTTATGCAAAATTACCGATGGTGGAAAACAGCTTAAGTGATTGCAGCTGTTTTAAGATGGCAGCTGGACTGGGCTGGGCTGAGTGTGAGACACACACACATTACCCTCTTCACACGCTCCCACGTCACACCACCTCGTAGGTCACCGCTTTGATTTTACTGTAAACTTCATAAAAGCAGCAAACAGAGTCGAAACCCTTCCGTCTTTACTCCTTCACTTAGTTAAATCCAGTGGCGGGTTTAGCAATTTGGGGGCCCAAGACGAACACAGACATGGGGCCCCTTACACTAAATTTTCAACAATCTTATCTTTAACTGGATTTGCGAAACTCTCCCCCTTCTGACACGAGTTATTTTCACTTTTTATTAGTCCTCCTTTTTTTCCTGTCTTTCTCTCCCTTTTAGTGCTTTCTGCTTCCTGTCAGTGCTCCTGTGCTTTTGCCTTTCTTTTTTTTTCTTCTATTTTCCATTTTGGTCTATGTTTCCCTCCTTTAAACATTTTCCATTGTCTTTCCTTTTCTGCTTCCTTTTGATGTTTACATCGAAAAACGACATCACTTTTGAAGTGAAGATAAAAGCTTTTTTAAAGCAGGCAGCTTCTTTCACTTAAGCCGGTGTCGGTACAAGATCTGCTCGGGTGCAAAATCGGCTCGGGGTCCGTCGACTGCCGATGACGTTAAAGTAGTTGACTGACTGAACATGAACCTTACGGAAGTTACGTAATCACGTTACGTTGGTCCAGGCAAATTTTTCTGTTGGAAAGATGGACAACTTTTACAAAGAAATCCATCATTACCTCTTTGAAAATACACTTTTAGCATAGAGCTGCATGTATATTAGGGCTGAACGATTAACTGTGTGTGCAATTAAATTGCGATGTGACAAAAGGAGATTTTCTAATCGCAAAGGCTGCAATTTGGCAGCGAGTGGTTAGCGCAATGCTAATATACATGGAAAAACCCATAGGAATGCTAATGCTAATATCACCGATAACATTCTTACAAATTATGAATTAGAAACGTGCCAAATGATTACATTTGGAGTCTAATAGAAAGTAAAACTACCATCAATCAAATAAGTACAGACAGGTATTTTAGTAAAGCCAGAAATGTTTAAACTCCAGAGTTTTGGCTAGCAGCTATGAGCGTACCTGAACTACACATGGACAAGACGTCAAAAACTCTTAACACAAAATACTTCAATAAATGGGACACACTTCTTTCCTGCAAATACAATTTCACAGGTGTTGCTAATGCCTATGATCCTTCAAGGGATGTGCTCAAAGAGGAGTTCAACATTATGAATACAATATAGTGTTTTATTTTATAAATACCATTATAAACAACAACTTACGTCTTAAGAAACATTATTTTGATAACGAAACGCTAAATTCTTCCCAACAGTATAGATGTGTAGTGTATTTTGTCCGAGTGGGTTTGCCGTACTTTGACGTCATCGGCAGTCGAAGGACCCCGAGCCGATCTTGCACCCGAGCAGATCTTGTACAGACACCGGGCGTACACTGTGTGACTTTTTCACTTTTTTGAGACGATTTTCCACTCGTGTGAGAATCCACAAGATCGGGGCGAGTTTAGCGCTGAGCGTCGTGTAGTGTACAGGGGGTTACGAGAGGCGATTAACACCACGTGACCAGCTACCGATCAGCAATCGTGAGCTCACAGGATTTTCTGGCGTGTTTGATATTTTGCTCGTCCCTCGTGAGGGTATCGCACTGTTGAAGTGGCGCTGCAAGCAGCTGCGACCCAAAAAGTATCAGAACCGCTCACGGCGCACAGATTTACTTTCTTTATTTCGTTTTCCTCATCCAACCCCCATAAATCCCTGTGTGTCCTCCTGCAGCACTCCTGAAGGACAACAGGCAAGACAAAAAAGTCTGACGTGTTGAGTAAAAACTGCTATTTTTAGCATATTTTAGGTCCGACGTGTTGCTACCAGACGTACAGTGTGAGCAAATGACTCGTGAGATCGGCCCTGCGAGGAAGTCGTACAGTTTGAGCTGAAGCTGAGTGCTACAAGTGAAAAAGTCGCACAGTGTCCGCCCGGCTTTATTTGAGCCACTAGGATAACTCCATCTCATGCTTCATGTTTTGACTCCCGCTTTGAGTTTGTTACGAACGCTCCCGCCTCTCTTCTTATTATTATTTGTGGTCTTATGGCACTTGGCAAACAACAATTTGGTGCATTACTGCCACCAACTGGATTGGAGTGGAATGACTACCAATCACTTCCTGTTTGTCTTAATGGAATAATCCATTGTGGCATTAACAGAGGGGTGCCAGCAGTCAGGGCTAGGGGGCACCCAGCATTAGGGGCCCCAGGCGGCCGCCAACCTATGCCTAATGGTAAAACCACCACTGGTTAAATTGGAGTAAATTGATCCATATCTACAAGAAACTTGAAAACCCCACAGGAGTTTTGATCCTGAAGACTCTTGGGACAGAAGCAAATCTTGACAGATAAAATTTGATCTGGTAGTTTGTTTGAGGAAGCTCAACACACGAAGCACGGACAAAGCTCCAACACGTTTCTCTTCAGCTTCAATTTAAAGTTATACTGTTTACTTTAACAGCTTAAATCCAGAAACGTTGTGCTTCAGGGGCGGCGTCTGGCTCTGACAAGGCCATAAAATATCATCTCAAATGGTCTATTTTAATATTTTATAATCAGGAGGTGGTAAAACTGCGGGCATCTTTACAACAGAATCAGATAAACCAGTTTCTTCTTCACGAGTCACTTCAGGTCAGGAAATGGCCCAAAGTTCAATTATTCAACTTTAGGTTTTAAATCACCGACACGTGACACATGACGTGACATTACAGGTCATAAGCCTGTGCATCACTTCTTCTTTCCGCATTCAATTAGAATGAAAAAAATCATCATTTTATATATTTTGTCTTTTGTTCTTTAGTCAGATACAAAGAAGAACAAACTAATTCAAATTTTTTATATTTTCAATTTTAGCCTCAGATCAAAAATACGAAATGGGAAGCCGAGTCGTTGTTGTCGTCTTCTTCCTCCGCTTATCCGGGTCCGGGTCGCTGGGGCAGCATCCCAACTAGGGAGCTCCAGACCGTCCTCTCCCCGGCCAACTCCACCAGCTCCTCCGGCAGGATCCCAAGGCGTTCCCGGACCAGATTGGAGATGTAACCTCTCCAACGTGTCCTGGGTCGACCCGGGGGCCTCCTGCCGGCAGGACATGCCCGAAACACCTCCCCAGGGAGGCGTCCAGGAGACATCCTGACCAGATGCCCAAACCACCTCAACTGACTCCTCTCGATCCGAAGGAGCAGCGGTTCTACTCCGAGTCCCTCCCGAATGTCCGAGCTCCTCACCCTATCTCTAAGGCTGAGCCCGGCCACCCTACGGAGGAAACTCATTTCGGCCGCTTGTATCCGCGATCTCGTTCTTTCGGTCATTACCCAAAGCTCATGACCATAGGTGAGGATTGGGACGTAGATCGACCGGTTAATCGAGAGCCTGGCTTTCTGGATCAGCTCCCTCTTCACCACGACAGATCGGCTCAGCGTCCGCATCACTGCAGACGCCGAACCAATCCGCCTGTCGATCTCCCGATTCCTCCTACCCTCACTCGTGTACAAGACCCCGAGATACTTAAACTCCTCCACTTGAGGTAGGACCTCTCCCCCGACCCGGAGTTGGCAAGCCACCCTTTTCCGGTCGAGAACCATGGTCTCAGATTTGGAGGTGCTGATCCTTATCCCAGCCGCTTCACACTCGGCCGCGAACCTAAGCCAAGTCGCAGGACCCAACTTGGTTTTTACACCTAATGGGTCGGGTTTACGTGAGCTGGTGTCGTGCTGATATAGGTATCCCCGTCAGAACAAGTATCCCTGGGTCGGGAGCGTCCACCGGGCAGGAAGCATGAATCTGTTCAGCTCCACCTCCATTCCAACTAATTAGATCTGGAATTATGTTTTACTTTAGTGAAATAATTAAAGATCACTTTCAGTTTTGGTTTTCAACTGAAAACAGGAAAAAACGAATGAAACACAGATTGCTCGTGCACATGAGCCAGGATCTGCTTGTTCAGTTAAATACATTTTTATTAATCCACACAAAAGTACTGTTTTTTATTCTCCTTTCTGAGAGAAACGCTGAAAACAACAGTTTCCATTCGGAGTAGGAACACCATAAAGAGTCGAACTGAGCATCACAGAGGCATTTCCAGTCTGTTCAGAACAGATTTGTCAGTGTTTGGGCGTTCTTCCTACCTTACAAGAGTCGAGTCGATGCTGGGCGATGATAGAAACTTTCTCCACAAGAGTCCGGAGTCGTGACTGTGTTGCATGTGAGATGAATGTCACTGCTTCTGTGGAAACTTCTGTCACTCCAAACTTTTTAGCTGTGAAGGGGGAAAAAAACACATTTTAGACGAGATGCAGCTTTTAAAGTCTGTCACTTTTAAACAGGCATCAGATATGAAACTATGTTAGGCTCAGTTTCAGTTTTTATAACGTTTTAGTTTAAATCGTGGCTAAACAAAAGGCTGATATTGACCTTTATCAGCAAACAGTTTAATTTAATGTAGAACAAATGATTTAATGACTAAAGGATTGAAAACCTTCACATGGGCTCAGTAGATCCTCTGGTTTAACGTTTAAGAAAGAACTAGAAGATGTCTGCAGAAACTAGTGGTAAGCATCTCCACCTGCCTCACGATCCGATCCGATTATCTGCCTGTAGATTCGATTCTTCACAAAAAATTTTTCATTACTTCATAAAAGCAGTCGAATACTTTTCAATTCCTTTTTTATTTCGATATCCCTGAAAAACAGAACATTCATCTATTCACTATAGTGAGCAACAACTTTTGAAGTGTGCTGCCTATAATTACTTAAATAATATAAGAAATAATGTTTTCGGTAGAGCAGCTTTAAGATAGAATACTACTGAACTTAAAAATAGTAAACAAATACTGTGTTAAGTGATTCTTTCACATCCAGGATCCCAAAACGGAAATTAGCCCAGACATCCGATTTAAATGTAACGGGTGCATCTTTGATTACTGGTAAATGATAAATGACCCGCACTTGTATAGCGCCTCTCAGAGCAAGGACTCCAAAGCGCTTTACACTACAGTGCATCATTCATCCATTCACACACACATTCACACACTGATGGTGATGAACTACAATGTAGCCACAGCTGCCCTGGGGCGCACTGACAGAGGCGAGGCGGCAGAGCACTGGCGCCACCAGTCCCTCCGACCACCACCAGCAGGCAACGTGGGTTAAGTGTCTTGCCTAAGGACACAACAACAGAATTCTCTGTCCGGAGCCGGGATCGAACCTGCAACCTTCCGATTACTGGATAACCCGCTCAACCTGTTGAGCTACTGTAACGTTGGCCCTGTATCCCTGTCCGCCATTTCTGTTTTAAATTGGCGCTAGGGCAACGCAGTGCGCATGTGATTGCAACTCTGCCCCCAGAAGTAGTTGTAAAACCTCAAAACTTTATTGTCCTCGCACGTCCAGAACATAGACATAGGGAGAAAATCTCGTTACGTCACGTTGCCGCATCGATGCAGAATCGCGCACGGCTGAATGGCGATGCATCTTAGAATCGATCACTTTCCCCACCTCTAGCAGAAACTTAAGCTTTGTGATCGGCTCAGCCGAGAGAAAAATTCCTGTGTTATGATGTATAAATTGGCTTTAAAACAAAAGTAATGTTAAAGCTTCAGCCAGTGGATCAAAGGGTCACCGTTGTAGCGTCATGAATGTCCTGTTTACGACCTAAAGGTCATGATCTGCCGCGTCTGCTCGAGCAGAGACATAAAGTCTCTGACAGGCTAATCTACATGAGATAGCGGCCAAGGTCTTTCATGCACTCTGCTCATCTGAACTGCTTCTCCTCTGTTACAGCTTAAGATGAAGACGAAGAACTATTTTGATGAACACATAATTAACAACTTTGTTATTACCATTAATAATGTGAGCCCAATGTTCAAACAACCTGTGAAATGACAATGTTATTACTTGATATTATAATCCTGTGATCAGTAGCATTTTACAAGTAATTATAATCCTGGACATTTGCACTAGACACTGATGACACGTAATGCTAAAGTCACATGACACATTTCCTTTTGTCTGATCCAATCAGAACCTTCGTTTCTGGCTAGGCGTGGTTATCTGTGGTGTTTGTAGAAACCCTCTTTTGCATGTCAAGTTCTGATTCGCCAGTAAACCAAAATATGACAATTATAAAAACTATCCCACGCCACCTTTTCTTTAGTTCAAAGCGTTCTAGAGAAGTCTCGGACCAGCCATCCGGACTTCCTCTTCAGCCAAAAGAACCTCGACAAGCTGGATAAAATCTGTTGCAAGTTACACCTGACCGCAACGGTTCCTTCAGAATAAAAGCTGAACCTCACGACCCCTTCAGGGTCTCGGAGACGCCAGTGATAACCTGTCGTGACCTGGAAGCATTCCAAGACTAGTTTGGTCGGCACCGCTGCTTTTCTACCGGCTTCGGTGCCGAGGAGGGTCCAAGAGGACCTCGACATTCTGGATCTGATCGGAGGCGTTCCCTGGGGTACGTAGACCGACAGATGGCGTCTCATGTGTGTTATAAATCTACTAAAGTTCAGAGCGAAACATTCACTCCCACTCAGAACTAACCGCTTCTCCGGATCTGCTGGTTCTGAATAACATTCCACACACACACACATCATCATTCATCACGTCTCACTCCACCTTAGTCCATCAGTACACAGAGTGTTAAAGTTAGTCTTGTTTAAATTGTGTAGAAATAAATTTCGTAACTATTTTAAACCTGACTCTCTCTCTTTCCTTGGAGTTAATACGAAGTGTCGCTTAATCCCTGCAATAAAAAGTTCTGATCTTCTGGTTAAAATAGTCAAAGATCCATCAGATTGATATTTCATATTTCTATGGAATCTCACATTTTATGGTTCATAAGTAAGATGTAAACTACCCATCCTTTACACCGTGGTAACCACCGATGGATTATTGAGATCAAGTGGCAACCAAACATCTCTTCCTCCATGACAATAGACTTAAAGAGCAAGTCACCCCCTACCAGGGTCTTACTTCCTCCACATTTCCTGTCTAAAAAATGTGTCACAAGAGGAAAATCGGCTCAAAAAAGTGAAAAAGCCGCACAGCGTACGCCCGGCTTTACACACACACACACACACACACACACACACACACACACACACACACACACAGAAGAACTCTCTGGCTTGGTGTGCCATTCACTACCAGAAAGGGCGTCATCAGACAGAAAAGTTTATCTTCTTCAGATTCTTGGTGGAATTTCCGGAGTGTTTTAAAAGCGAAGCCCCTTCCGGTGAATAAGCGGCACCGACTCTTTCTGCTGGAGCATCATTTAGTTTTCTCGGAGCAAAATTCATCTAAAACAAAAAGAGAGGAGGACAGACTTTGGTAGAGTTACTATCTGTTTCCAACTTCCTTTTAAATTATTCCATTAACATAATTTTCTTTCTGGCACCCTTTTAAGTAAACCACGCCAATTATTTAAATCAGCTGAACAATGCACACACTCCTCAACGGCTGAAGCTTTGAAACAGATGGAGGGAGCCCTGCTAGTCCTATAATTACAGTGGCAATACATGTGGCAATGTCACAGGGTTGCCGAAAACCGCTAATAGGCTTCTACTCCTTTAAAATACAATCTTTCAGGGACATTAATATTTCAGAAAAAGTTTAAGAGACTCAGCTGCAGAGAGAGAGAAGGGGGGGGGGGGGGGGGGGTGTTCTGTGAACAAAAACATTTCTTATTGCAATAATACTAATTGTTATTCTTCACCTAGAAACCGAACAGACTAATGATCCAGACCGTCTTAAATGCTTGTTGTGTAACTCCTACTGGAGTGACTGTTAGGATAATAGGAAAGATGTGCACTAAAAGGCTGCAACATTTGCAATTCTCTTTGGATTTTACCCCAAAATATCTCACTGAGTGCCTTTTCACAGCCAATCTGACAAGATTGCATAAATGGGTGCCTCAATACAATTCAAAATGCAAAACAAGCGTGAGGGGCACATAGAAAAAAGGATGAGCAGTATTTAGTCGGTCAGCCGTAGGTGTGAGAACTACAAATATGTCCTGTTTTCTGATCCTCCTGAGACCTAAGGTGTTTCTTCTAACCCCTTCTTTCCACCGGAGCCGTCAGCAGCACGTTACTGCAGCAGCACGTCTTGCTCGCGTAAGCTGCTGCTTGGCCCTTCCCACGAGACGCGAAGCAGCAGGGGAGCAGCTGTCACCAACAGAGCACGAAGTCACACGAGTGACTTTGTCAGTAAACACAACAACAAGCAGGAGAAAACTACAACATGGCTCCAAAATGTTTGTGTTTTATGTTCTGTCCATTTTATAATCGCCAATACGGACCTGAAAAACAAAGGAGACCGCTAGCTAGGTGATAACTTCTCACGGGGCCGCACAGTTAGTAACTTTTTTTTTTAAGTAAAGCAACCGGAAGGCAGTACGTTCTTTATTCTGAAAATCTCGGGAACTTCGCTCTGTTTCTGTGTCCGATTTCTTGTCTTTCCTTCCCCAAAAATGTCGAACTTGACCCGTTTCAGAGGCGTCGCGCGTAGAAAATAGAACCGGCATGTAAGGGCCGCGACATGCTGCTCCTGAGACGCGGCCGACTCGCGCTGCTGACGGCTCCGGTGGAAAAGGTTCTGTTGACCACAGCGGTTCCTATCAGCAGCTATGACGTGCTGCTGCAGTAACGTGCTGCTGACGGCTCCGGTGGAAAGAAGGGGTAAGCCTGAAACTATTTCAGATTAGTGGGAACCAAAGACGTTAAGGAATGCAATTATGGATTTAGAATTTTTAGTAGCTCAAAATTCAGAAATAAAAAAGGGATTTTAAAAATGTGGAGAAAAATTAAACATTAGCAAAAAATATCTAATGAAGGTCTCGATTTACCGGTCGATCTACGTTCCTACTAGGGATGAGCGAGTACACCACTATCTGTATCTGTACTCGGAGTGGGCGTGGCCTAACCCAGAAGTGGGTGTAGTTTAACCGGAAGTGGGTGTGGTTTACATCAATACGTTATTTTAAGTCTGATCAGAAGTTGCTGTGTGTGTTGTTTATTTGAAAACTATTTACAGAGCAGCCTCAGAGTTGAGATTAAATGTTTTTGATCACAACAGTAAATGAACTATTACAGAACAAGTTTTTCAATAAAATCAGAACATTAATATTTAAGTGCATGAATTAAGAGAGAGAGAGAGAGAGAGAGAGAGCGTCTTTTCAACGTTGACAAAACGCTCGAATGTTTGCTGGGTTGGGTAGCGACCAAAAGAACGAGATCACGGACACAAGCGGCTGAAATGAGTTTTATGTTTATGTATTTAGCAGACGCTTTTGTCCAAAGCGATTTACAAGTGATAGTCGGCATGTTGCCCTTGAGGCTAACAACAATGATAACAACAACTTGACATCAATCATGGAGACGAGGGAACAAAGGAGTGGACAGTGGGGGGGGGGGGGGGGGGGGGGTGTCTAGTTTAGAAGATGCTCTCTGAAGAGCAGGTTCTTGAAAATTGAAAAGGAAGCCGCAGTTCTGGTAGTGCTTGGAAGGTCATTCCACATACGTGGAACGATGCATGAGAAGAGTCTGGATTGTCCTGAGCATTGTGTAGGCACTGCTAGCCGACCATCCTGTGATGACCGGAGCGGTCGGGCCGAGACGTAAGCCTTTGCAAGAGGATTCAGGTAGATGGGAGCCGTACCGTCTCGGACTTTGTATGCTAGTGTTAGCTATTTGAATTTGATGCGTGCTGCTAGCGGTAGCCAGTGGAGCTCAATGAACAGAAGTTTTCTCTACAGTTTGGCTTAGAGATAGGGTGAGAAGAAGCTCGATCATCTTGGAGGGGTTCGGTTAAGGAGCCAGATGCGGTGGCTTGGCCATCTCGTTAGGATGCCTCCTAGACACCTCCTTGGTGACGTTTTTCCTGGCACGTCCAACCAGGAGAAGACCCAGGGCCAGCTGGAGGGACGACGTCTCTCGGCTGGCCAGGGAACGCCTTGGGATTCCCCCGGAGGAGCTGGCCCAAGTGTCTGGGGAGAGGGAAGTCTGGGCCTCTCTGCTTAGGCCACTGCCCTCGTGACCCGAGTCCAGATAAGTGGAGGAAAATGGATGAATGAATGAATGGAACTGTGGCACAGCGTGGATTAGTGGAGTCCTTTTCTTAGCATTCACATATTTGCTATGAAACATGGAGTTCCATTTTTGAAATGAACAGTCACGGTAAATTTATTTACATATTTCCTCAAAACATTACAGAATCTGTAAAAAAATACAAAAAAATACCTTTTTTCTAAACTTTATCTCCACTTAGTAGAACTTGTGAGAAAACTGCAAAGAGCACACAAACTTTCATGCATCGCTGTGTGTGTGTGTGTGTGTGTGTGTGTGTGTGTGTGTGTGTGTGTGTGTGTGTGTGTGTGTGTGTGTGTGTGTGTGTGTGTGTGTGTGTGTGTGTAGGGGGGCATCTCTACTTTGAGGAGTCTTCCTAGAGGACTCCAGCTGAGTTCTGGTCCCTGAGACTGGGGTTTTGCAGCTTTGCAGACACACACATACACCCCTCCTCCCCCAAAAGCTCAAGGACAAGCCTGAAGACTATATGGGGAGAGGTGTGTGTGTGTTGTGAGGTGGGGGCAGTGTTTGTTTGAAGGGTAAAAATAAAAAGGACTGAGAGGCATAAAAAAAACAAAGATCCAATTGAAGGAGGGGGTTGGAATCTCCATTCTAGGAAACATGAGATGTTACATTTTAAACGGGATAATTTTAGGATAAAGGAGAGGTTATCAAGAAGTTCTAGCTGAATGCTAAACCAAAGAGAAAGTGGTGTTTTTACAGTAAAAAGGAGCATCCCTGATTGAGTGGAGCTGGCAGGCCGGAGGAGCCTCCCTTGGTCTGCTGTCAGCTGAGAGCGGAGAGAGACCAATCACTGACACAACAAAGCTGCACAAGTGCCACTTCCCCAGCAGGGGGCACTCTACCCTCCTGCCCCGTATCATGCTGTGCACTTCCCTCAGGAAAGATTTATATTTTAAAACAAGCCCTCTACCCCAAGGTGACGGGATAACAACCATGCCGAGAGTCCATGCAACGAAACAGGACCTGCGGGCCCTGGTGAGCACTAAAGATTTTGATTAATTAATAATTAATTGAGATGCAACGAGATGAGGGCGCGAGGCTTCCCGTCTCCAGAAATTACTCTGTGTTTTTTGATCCGCTGAACAGAAAAAAGGCGCTGGGCAAAGTTTTATTTTGAGGAATAACGCTCATTACAGCTTCTTACTAGAGTCAATGTGAAGGCAGAAGTTAATAAAGGAGGACCTCCTTTCACCTGCGTGGAAATAAAGCAAATACAGAGAGGTTCAAAGCTTCACCGTTGAGTCTCTTTGCTTTAACGCTCTGTTTCCTTTGTCCAGAAGACATTCTGAAAGCTTTCAACAGACAGACCCATCGAGTGTTCCTGTGACTGAGATCAGGCGGCCGCAAAGACACAAGGAACCCAGAACAACTGCAGACAGGAACCAGAGAAGATAACACTTTGGCGTGAGCGATGCTTGCCTCTTAAAAAATAATGCCGTCAATTTGCCGCACCGCAGAGCCGCCATCAGGGAGCTTTAGGTTGTTTCTAAGTGGTCAGACTGTGGCGGTAAAGTGGTGCAATCGTGTCCTTTTTTACAAAAGATTACACGATGGTGGTATAAACAAGGTCTGGGGGCGGTCTCTGCACTGCCGCAGGCTTTGTTTATCTTGGACATAACTTGCTTTTTATTGCGATCATTACCTTTTTTTGACAAGCCACTCCTGAAGGTGTCTGTCCTCCACAGTCCCGGTGCAGTCTCTGGTGATCTGACCTCCAGCTCTAACAGGGCAGCTCCTTCGAGCTCTGCATCGCTCCGGTTCACCATCTCAGCTGGTTCTGTTTACAAAAGCTAAACTTACGGCACGTGTTTACTTTAGTTTTCAATGTAGTTGCTGGACGGAGCTCGGCAGTAACTCCCCACGCGGTCATGACTTGCATCAAGGCGTAAAGTGCATTCACAAGTCCGGCGTTGCGGCAATATTACTACCAAGCGTGGCGGCACGAATGCTGCAAAAATCTCACAATGCCCTTCCGCCGCGGCGTGTTCAAAAGACACATCGAGGTGTGTCTTTTAAAAAGGGCTGCTAGCACAGCTCACCGGTTTCCAGGATCCGTCGGTGCAGCAGTCCCGGGTGGAGGAAGGCCTCGTCTTTACAGGAGCGGATCTGCGTTCCCACCAGCTCAGAGTTGGTCGCCAGTATTCTCGCACTCTCCTCGTTCAGATTCACCCCGGCCATGGACGCCACATCGTTGATGTCATCATCGTCTCTGAAATAGGGGAGGTAAGGGTAAAGGAGATAAATGGGTGGGACCCATTTTGATCTGCAGACAAGTGTTCCACGAATCTAAAACTATCCTGTTAGAACTTACTGTGGTGGCAGGTTCATATTCTGCCTCCTCACATTTAGGTGCGTTTTGGATGTGACCTTTTGACCCACATTTTGAGTCTTGATTTGTAGCCTAAACCAGAAACTTTTTTACTTTTGTGTCGAAAAGAGTCTAAAAGCTAAAAAAAAAAAAAAAGCTACACATCTAAATGTTTTAACAAAGTGACGGACAGTTAAAAAATTGGGCGTCTCCGTTACCCGCTGTGGGCCTGCCGCCGAACCCTTGCGTTGATGCATGATGGCATTGCGTGTTTCTGCACCCACGCAGGCAGAGAAGTATAAATCAGGCTTTACACTTTTAGTTTTTTTCGATTGCTAAAACGCGTTTTTCAAAACTGTACGTTTCTTTCAAAACTGCACACACAAAACCCCAAACATAACACACAAATTCCTAAACCGTGGCTTCCCTTTGCAACAAAACCCTGCCACCACATATCGTAACATGTTCCCAAAATGGAACACGTGTTTTCATTTGGTAAACACAGCCACATTTTCACATGACACACACATACCATTCGTTACCATACCATACCATACCATATTTATTTATAAAGCACCATTTCAAAATAGCATGGCAGCTAACCAAAGTGCTGTACATAAAAGCCAAATGGTTGACCAAGAAACACAAAAAGAACTGGCAAAATACATAAGAACAAAGCATAAATAGTCGGAGATAAAAATTCCTACTAAAAACGATAAAATAGGAGAACAGTTAAAAGCACTATAAAATAAAATAATGCGACCAATGATAAAAACATTTGAAATGGCACTAATAAAACGAAATATAACACCAGATGGTGCGAGGTGCCAAAAGTGAGCAACTAAATCATAAAAATGGAATTAAAAACTCAAATACGGTGCTAGATTGTCATGAAAAGTGTCACGGAGGGAAGGCAATGCTAAATAAGTGTGTTTTCAGGGCCGACTTGAAACTGCTAAACACAAGTAGCCTTTGGGTGAACACTACCAAGCATGGAAAGAACACTGAAGAGCAAAACTGAAAACACAATTGTCGAAAGGGAACGCAATGAATTACACACTGAAAGTATGACAGTGCCCACTTTTCTCTGAGATAAACATTAGACATCACACAAATTTTGAGACAAAACATTTTATTTTTACGGTTAAACCCCCCCACCCCCACCCCCCCCACCCCCCACCCCCAAGCATAATCATGGGGCATCAAGCCGCCGGTCTCTGTCTGGCCAAAGGGCCTCATCAACATCACAGGCGATGTCCTCCTGGTCCAAACAGCGCTGGAAGTACCGCCTCGAGTGCCTCATGAAGCCCTGACAGGCCTCAAAGGCCACATCTTTACAAGCCTCCTCCATGGCTTGAAGCAGTGGGACCTTGCTCTGTGGATTCCTTTCGTACACCTTCCACCTCCAGGCTGAGAAAAACTCCTCAGTGGGATTGAGGAAGGGGGAATAAGGTGGAAGGCATAAAATGGAAAACCGTGGGTGGTCCTGAAACCACTCATGCACCTGGGTAGCCTTGTGGAAACTTACTTTTATGCTGCAGTCCCTGATTGCAAATTGCTCGCCAGACCCGAAAGTTTAGAGATTTGAATATTTGTGTGTTGTTGATCGAAGCTTTGAGAATTTATGTGGAAAGTGTTTGTAAACCTGAAAATTGTGTGTTGTGTTTTGACAGCAAGGTAATGTGAAATTGACATCAGAGCGTAAAGGAGGAAAATCAGAGTTCTAATATGATAAGGAAATCTTAAGTAGTGATAAATCGAGTCAAGGGATTGGGAACAGAAGTAGAGGTTGTGAAAATTGTGCCTCATTTTTGCTTTTTGAGTTTTAGCTATCGAAAAAAACTGTAACAGAGAAGTCCTTGTACATATCCATGTGGTAAATGTTATGATGAGGTTTGAAGTTTCTTGGTTGTGCCCAGACTAGCCATTAGCTCCACCTGAAGGATGTACACTATTTCTCTGAGCTAAGTAGGGCTGAAACGATTCCTCGAGTACCTCGAAAAATTCAAATACAAAAAAGCCTCGAGTCAAATTCTCTGCCTCGAGGCTTCGTTTAAGTCATGTTTAATTAATTCATGGCTTTGCAATCACCCGGGGTCATGTTTCACCCGGACCGAAATAATTGACGCACATACACACTGCACTGAAAGCACACGCGAGTAGCGAATGTAACTTAACTTTCTCTTAAGCCATGGCGGACAACGTGGACCTTGGTGGAGTGCGAAAAAGACAGAAAATGTCAAAGGTGTGTGACCATTTTTCACGTCGTAAGGCGGAAAACGTAGTCCGGTGTAAATACTGTAATATGGATGTAGCCTACCACAACACCACATCCTCCATGCTGCAACCTGACCAGGAAACATCCACGTGTAAATGTCACTTCTGCAAGCGGACTCGGAGGTAGGATGTTTATCGATTGTTAAATATTGAGAGAAATGATGTATGGCTTAACAAATCTAAAGTGTTGATATACATGGATGCTCTTCCAAAAAACATATCCAAAATGGTGAACATTATTTTCATCATGGGAAAATACCATATACATAAGACTAAATGGAAAAACAGCAAGCCTAACAATAGCCATTTTAAAAATGAAATAAAACAACTGACAACATCTCTGAGAGTATTATCAGAAAATAACCAATCTATAACTGAGTTGTACGAAACAATGTCTGAGTTTCTTGTTCTTTAAATTACAGTCCAATGAATCAAACATGTTTGAAATATAATGCTGAAATATCAACCTCTGAACATTTTTTGTTTGTTGTTGATGTTATTTTATTTTTATTTTTATTATTATTATTTAGCATCATAATTTGTTTCATGGTAGTGTCATGCAGTAATTGTTGCAAGTTCTATATGTAATTTTTATTTTCCTCAAGTGAGGTCATTTGTATTTGTTACATTCTTCAGAACGTTGAATGTAGGTTACATTGTAAACTGAATGTATGTGAAAACGAAGACTGAAATAAAGTTTAAAAAATAAATAAAAATAAACATAAATAAATAAAGGGGGACTCAGACGTTCGCTATATATTCTGCGGACACTGTGCGACTTTCATTTGTAGCACTCAGTTTCAGCTCACACCGTACGTCTGGTAGCAACACATCGGACCTAAAAATGTGCTAAAAATAGCCGTTTTTACACAACACGTCTGACTTTTTATTGTGTTGTTATTGATGTCTGTTGTCCCTCGGCATTGCTGCAGGAGGACACGGGTATTTGAGTGGTGGAGGAAAACAAAAGAAAGTAAACAAATGTTTTGTGATCAGTATAATTTGACATAACCACAGAAAACATGCTTTCTCGACAATCCTTGTTATTGTGTGAGAAAAAAAGTGTAGAAATTAAAACGGACGTGTGTTAATAGGGAAACAGCTGGCGAGCCATGTTTGCGCATGAGCCGTGAGCGGTTCTGGTGCTGTTTGGGCCGCAGCCGCTCGCAGCGCTACTTCAACAGTTCTCTTCCTAGTTTTTGTCTGAAGTTTTGAAAAGTTATTTTGAAAAAAACTTGAAGAATAACTGTCAATTGCGTGCTCATTTTAAGAGGTCTTTCATATTTTATAACATGCTGTTTAATATAATGGTTTACAAACATAAAAAGGGTAATTTATTAGAGTACTCGATTAATCGATAAAAGATTCAATAGAGTACTCGATTACAAAAATATTCGACAGCTGCAGCCCTAGTGCTAAGGCTGTTCAGGAAGCTCTCACAAACTCAAAAATGGATGAAAATCCCTTTAATGAGTAAAATAGCCCATTTAAAACATCACAAATCCACTGCTGAGGCTGATTTCAGCGCAAAACAAATCAAACTTTAGTCTAAAGGACTTCGTGGCCTTTAATGTTAGTGAAAACAAAGTAAACGAAACTCGTCTTCATTGCCTTTCAGCTGAAGGGTTGAGTTGGTCATTAATGTCTGGTGTTTCTTCTGAAACTGCTGCAACACAGAACACACAACCTTTTATCACTGAAGCGTTACATTTATCTCACTAAGAAATGGAAAACCACAAGTTACACTTTTAAATCTTAACCCCGCGTGTGCATTCATATAACCACGTTATTTACATTTATTCCAGGGAGAAAATGGAAATACAGATTTTTTTTCCTCATCTATTTGCCTGGAAGAAATTATGCATTAGCTTTTTTGATTTCTTTATGCAGAGATTACATTTGGCCGTAATGACACAGACTTCTCATTCTAGGGTCTATTAGTGTCAACACATCGGGAGGCAGGGAGATGAAAAGTTTTTGGAAGGAGCTTTGCTGGATAAGGATGCTCCTGAGGATTGGCAAAACACAAGTCAACAAACTCTATTTGCACACTGCTTCGGTACACCTACTCATTTATTTTTTGATGCACTGATCATTTCTCACAGGTACGACGTTGACTTGACGGTGTTTATGTGTTATTCTATATTAGCAGAGGAGAATAAACAAACAGGATTTGCATTTGGGTTGGTGTGTTTGACACACGCCCTGCCCCCGAGTCCTTCCCTGTGACTGGGAGAAGTTCTTGGCACGCCGTGATTGTGATTCTGGCCTGAATTAGCCAAGCGGTGACATGTTGTCCTTACAGGACTGGCCCAAAGCGAGCAGCGCTTTTTTTTCCTGAGTGGCTTTGACGGCGGGAACAAAGACCCAGAGAACACACGCAGGGTGGTCTCGGCTCTGCAGCCACGGTTGTAGGTTGCCGTACTTTTTGTGTATGCAAGTTGAATTCTCATGCGTCGTGAAGGGTGGACCCTCAGCCATCGCCGCCCCGCCGAGGCCCTCGGTGCGGCCGCGCAAAGCCGATATGAAACTTGACAACGCAACAGGAGGCTGACAAAGACAATTAGGGCAGCTCCCTGAACCTCACACACACCGTCTCTCTTTTCTCTTGGTGCACTCTTAAT